AAAACTCCTTTCTATGTATGGTTGGTATCATATACCCAAGTCCGAATGCTACATTTCCAACGGGACGGTGATCTTTTTCGTAATGAAATTTACTGCGCCTGTGGCAAATATTACATCTAAAACCACAATGAAAATTTATTACATTTTATTTTTAGATAATTTTAATTATTATTATCTCAGAAATTTAGCAGATGATTTATTGTTGCTTCAATTAAGCAGATTAAGAATTCTTTTGTATAACAATAGATAACAATTCAATATCTTCATAAAATACTTTTAATTAGATTTACGTAATTTTCCTTTTGGTAAATATTTTTTTATACAATGCATTAAAAATGAATTTGAATTGTTAAAACAAAATTGTATTTTCTTTATTGAAATTGTCTAAATACAATGTGAAATTTGTTATATAACGAGATGCAAGTTAGCTTAGTTTTCAGCAACTTCTCAATAACCTCCTCCCTCAACAACTTTATTTTTAACATCAACTATAAAAGCAACAAGTAGCATGGTAACGCATAGAGTAATAAAAGCTTATGCGTGAGAATAATATCAAACTTTATGAATCACTTCCAATGGGTAGAAGAAGTAAAGGAAAAAGAATTAAACCTTTTACACAGTGATGTACATTTTCGATGTCCCAAACATTTTGAGACTGTCCCACACTATGTCCTAAAATGTCTCACATTAAGTCCTAATGTCTCAGGCCATGTCCCAAAAATGTCCTATAACAACACGTCTAAGGCCAAGAAGTGATGTTGATTCATCCAATAATACAACATGTAAAGTGAGAGGCTTAACTAGAAATCTCAAAAAAACGTAATGAATTAAACTGACATATAAGATTCCAAAATTCATTCCTTCTCCTAAACCTAGTGACAGTCTTTATTCAACTTTCACAACAGCTAATTTTGTTTTACTTGATCAATAGTTTCTTATGAATCTATAAATTCTATCATTCTTTTTTATCAAATATAAATATTTTTTAATAATTAATAGTTGATTTCTTTTCATTTCTTTATAAAATTAAATTCAATAAAAAAATTTTTTTTAACACTTTTTAAATTTTTAATATTTATATAATATTTTATTATATTGTTTCTTATATTTGATTAAATATAAATTTAATATTTAATACCTTTTTTTAATAAATAATAAAAGAACTTTAAAAAGAAAATTTAATCAAAGTCAAATTTACCTTTAAGATATTTAATGCTAATAAATAATAATAAAAAAAATAAATAACATTTTTTATTTAAAGAAAAATCTGAAAGAATAATTGGAGAAATAATTGGAGGAAGTAATCCTAGGAGTGTTGAGGAACCGGACGAATTATTGAAAAAGCTTGATTTTTTGACAAAGAATTATGTGTATCAATTGGAAGAAGTAATTGACGAAATTCTGAAAAAGCTTTTCTGAAGAATAATCAGAGACTTTTCTTGAAGAATTTAGAAAAGTAATAGAGGAAATAGTAGTTTTAAGTTTCTCATCATCAAAATTAAGATTAGTTACTTCGCTTTGTCATTTTGTCTTAACTCAAAGATCTCTTTTCTTTCTCTAGATTTCCAAAAATTCTTGAGTTTGTTCTCAGTGTAAATCTTTTTAAACTTATCAAACATCACGGGAATTAATTTTACAAATCTAATTTGCCCATTCTCTTAATTATTTTCAACCTATTAGATGATGAAATGTTTTTCATCGATATACTGGCAAATAAAAAACCCTTTAGTTTTTTATCAACCTTATATAGGATTATATTGAATAATTTAAAAATAATTTATAATACAAAAAAAAACAAGAAAAAGAAAAGTATATCAAAAAAAAAATTATATATTCTTTTAATCAATTTAAATATAGCAAAAAAAGATTATTTCATATTTTTAGTATAATAAATTGAAAATATATTGATAATTATTTTGAAGTTTCTTAACTGAATAGCATATTCTTGAATTTTATTATAATCTTCTTGATAATACTTTCTTGAAATACATATAATTCTTTTTAAGTTGATAATATAACTTTTTAATTTAATAATACCTATTTTTGATGATTTAAACAGGAAAAAAATTCTGTTGTTTGATTTTTAAATAATTATATTAATAGAAAACATAGCAAATCAATTTAAAAAAATAATAATTATTCTTTTAATGTTTAATTTTCTTAATGTAATTCTAAGTTTTCTTGATAATTCTTTATTGAATAAATTTCTTAATAAGAATTTGCATTTTAAATAAAAAAAAAGCTAAATATTATAATTGTGAAATTGAGTATCTTAATATGACTAGTATACATAAGTTCATTAAAAGGTCAGTTTAATAATTCTAATAATATTCTATAAGGTTATTTATTCAATAAAGTCTATAATAACCAAACTTAATTAAGAAAAACTTACATTATAAGAATTTATAATTATATATTGTTAACGTGCGATTTTGGTGGATCGCTACAGTTAAACGAGGTGTTCGAGAGTTGTTTCTTTTTAATATACGTAGTAATTACTGATCTTTCCTGGAGTCCCTG